TAAGATTTCATGAGTATAATTTCCCTTTCATATAGAGGAGATGTAAATATCTCAGTAGATATCCTGGTCCTCTGTTTTTACAGCCTTTCCGGCTTCTCTTCTGAGATGCTCTCAACTGGGGTTGGGCACCCCATCACTTGCTCTCTGCATTTTGATCAGTTGTCGTTTTCTGTCATGGTCTCCATCTGCTGCAGACAGAGGTGTCTTTGATAAAGGGTGCAGCTGTACATTTCCCTGTGGCCATAAGGATAACTGTTTAGAATGCAGTTAGAGGTTATACTGGATTAAGGAAGTGGCGGTAGTATGTTCTCTCTCGGTTCTATGGCCTCACCGGTGAGTTACGGGTAGTTGTCTAGATTTGCAGTATTAGGCACGATTTCCATCCCATTGAGTGAGCCGTAAGTCTAACTGGACAGCTGTTGGTTACCTCCCATTATAACGGCCATTATAGATAGCATCTTTGGGGGATATCTTGGTATTCTGTTATTGTGGTTTGTGGGTGTCAAAGCTGGGTAGGACTTTAGCAGTTTGCATGGCACCTTCAGGTACTATGGAAGCTGGTCCTCAGGGAAGAGGCTTCCAGGTCTGAAGTACAATGTGTCTTCAGCAACAGGGTCTCACCTTCGAATTCTGGGAGACTCCCAAGGGCTATAGCAATAGGCAGTATTGTTTTGGGAGTCCGTTGAGTTCTCCTGACCAAGGGCACAAAGGGAGATTTCTCATGCTTGGTACTGGGGTTTTTGTGAGCTAGACTAGAGATCTTGTGAGCATTATCACCCCTAGTGGAGTAATTCATTAAACACACACACACACACACACACACACACACACACACACACACACACATCTTCTATCATTTCAGGTAAACATAAATTGATATGATTCCCTATGACTTTTTCAAACACCCTTAGTATCAGAAAATTATTATTATGGCCCTGGATACACATGATATAAAATATCCATCTTAGCCATCGTAAAATGCTTGGTAAAATAGACTACGTCAGAAATACACCACTACCACCATCCAGTTCCACGACCGTCTTCACGGATCCTCTGTCCATTACCCAGTAGCCTCCTAGCTCTTCCTCCCCAGCCTGGCAGCCACCCTTCACCTATTGTCTCTTGTGATTTTGACTGTTCTGCGTCAGCTAAGCGAGGGACACTGTATTTATCTTGTTGTGGCTGATACGTCATTTAACATGGTGCCGCTGAGGTTCAGACATATGTAGCAGACAGAAAAATACTCTTCCTTTTGGAGGCAGAATAATATTCCACTGTGTGGATAAGCTACATTTTCTTTTATGTGTTGACGTTTTAACCCTGATGAGTAAAACTGCTATGAAAATTGCTTGTAAATATCTCTCTCATACCTTGCATTCTCTTCATTTGGGCACATATTCTGAGGTGGAATTACTGGATCATATTTGAATCCCGTTTTTAATTTTTTGAGGTATTGCCTTCCTGTTTTCTATAGCAACTATACAGTTGATTCAGTTCCGCCAGCCCTAAACAGGGGCTCAAATTTCTCTGCACTCCTTCTCTCCCTCCGTCCTCCCTCCCCCTCCTCCCTCATTGTCCTTCCTTTTGCTAATACCCCACCTAATGGTTATAAGAGGAACCTTATAACACTTTTGAGCTGTGTATCTTTGATGATTAGTGATATTGAGAATTTTTGTGTGCTTATGGTTATATTTTCGTTTGGGAGCCTAACCTCCATCCCTTATGTGGTTCTTCTTCTTCTTCTTCTTCTTCTTCTTCTTCTTCTTCTTCTTCTTCTTCTTCTTCTTCTTCTTCTTCTTCTTCTTTAAGATTTATTTATTTATTATGTACACAGTGGTCTGCCTGCACACCAAGAAGACGGCACCAGATCTCATTATAGATGGTTGTGAGCCACCATGTGGTTGCTGGGAATTGAACTCAGGACCTCTGGAGGAGCAGCCAGTGCCCTTAACCACTGAACTATCTCTCCAGCCCCCATATGTGGTTATTCTTATTGGCTATCTGTGTGTCTTCTGTCAAGTTTTTGGATTAGGTTATTTGGTGTGTGTATGTGTGTGTGTGTGTGTATGTGTGTGTGTGTGTGTGTGTGTGGGTCTTGTTGCTTTGAGTTTTCTTTTTTTTTTTTTAACAATTTTCTCTGTATTGGGGATATTAATCCCTTATTAGATTTATGGGTTGCATTTCCGCCCCCCCCCAAGTTTTGTACAAAGCATTTTTTTTCTGTTGGTAGTGTCTTTTGATTTATAATTAAAACATTTTAAACCAAGCCTAATTCATCCGATATTTTCCTTTTATTTTTGAAACCAACTACTTGGCATATTCATTTTTTTTTAAAGCAGTTGATCTAATTGACAGGAGAAGGCCCACCCAAACCTTCCCAAGTGTTTAACAGGTCTTTACCAGTCTCCTAAGTAGGGCAATGAGCAACAGTAAGTAGCCAAGATGTCCCTTACACACAGGGGCTCACACTTCGGTTCCTCTTAAATTCACTCAGTGACGAAGACAAATTTCACAATTTTAAATGATGAGAGTGTCAGTCAAAATTCTTCCAGCTTTCCATCTCGGCAAGTCTTAAAACCAGCAACACAATTGAATTCAAGTCACAACCAGATCTAATTAATATTTCTGACCTGATACATAAAACTAAATATGCAAATTCTTAAGCCTTCTTTATCATTTTTAGTATTATAAAATAGATTTATTTAGCCGTTTTTATGTGTATGGGTATGCATGTGTGTTTCTGTATATGTATTTGTGTATGACTGTATATGTGTGTACATGGGTATATGGATTCGTGGATGTGTATGTTTGTGTGTGAGGTGTTGGGAATTGCATGCACAGTGTGCATATGGGTGTAGGGCCCAGAGATTCACTTCAGGAGTCCTCAGGTGCCACCCACCTTGGTTTCTCTGAGACAGTGTCTCTCATTGGCCCAGAGATCTCTGATTATAATAGACTGGCTGTCCAGTGAGCCACAGGGATCCTTGTCTCTCTCTCCAGAGCTGGATTTACAAGTGTGTGTCACTGTGCCTGGCTTCTTTTTGCATGGGTTATGGTTGTGTACCTCAGGTCCTCACATTTATAACTGAACTGTCTCCCCAGCAATTAAATTTTAATTGTGAATTACCAGGTTGAATATTGGGGTTCCCAGAGATGGGTTGACTTGGTGGCTAGTTCACGCTTAAGAGACACTGTTGTCTCAGGAACGCTAGGAGATTAGGAAATGTGGCTAGGGATCCAGCGGTCATCTAGGAGGAAAGCAGACTTTTCCAAAGCACAGATGGAGGAGCTGTGAACTTGACTTTCACATCCATTCTCTTGGGATGACCATTCCACATGGTTAGCTGACGTGGGTGAGTCAGGTCCTGAGCGGGGCCTATAGTCTCTGCTTCACACATCATCTGGATTCTGAGAGCCCTCTGCTGCTGACTGCCTGGTTCTTACCTGCCTGGCTGCTTGGCCACGGGGTGCTCTCTCTTCGTGACTGGGACCTGCCCTGGCTCTCCTCTTCAAACACACACCAGCCCACTCACTGTTTCATGACATGAACATGAACTCCGCCCCCCCCCCTTTTTTTACAACTGACATGGAATTCAAACTTACTTCCCACAAATTCCCAACCAGCCCCCACCTCGTAGTCTACCCTCTAAGCTCCCCCTACACAGACATTCTAAAATTATGAATGCAGTTCTGCTTTGAGCCCTACCGTGGCTCCTGGTCCACCAGGAGTAGAATATAAACCTTGAGCATGGCCAGCAAGTCCCTGCATGATCTACTCTCTCTTCCTCCATGACCTCATCGCCCACGGCTTTCCTGTTCAGCGCTGAGTCCAGCCATACTGGCCTTCTTGCTTTTCTTCCCACAGAAACCAAGACTCATTTCTACCTCAGGGCCTTTGGGCAGGCTGTTCCCATGGCCCCCAAAACACCACCTCCTTCTCTCTTTGAGGAGCTCTTCACGCTATAGGCCTCAGCTCCTGGCATGTCCCGTAGAGTTGATGCTTCTTCACAAAATGTGGCACAGTTTTTGGCTTTAACAGCATTCTGTGTTTCTTTTCTACTAGATCATTGGCTGCATGCAGCCGTGTGTGGTATTTTACATACTTGAGCCGCACAGTTAGCGACTATCCTAGTTGTCATACCATCGCCTTCACTCTTAACTCATAATTGTTACAATAATTTGTAACCACTTTGGCTTCGTGAGAGGCACTAGTAATTGTTGATTTGAGATATCTAAATGTCATAACTCACATTTATGAAAACATCTAAAAAAAATCACCTCTATGGCCCTTTAATCCTTCTAAACCTTTCTGATTCTTGCATTATAGCAAAAGGCACCTTTTGAGGGATTGTCTTGACTTTATAAAGAGGTCGCTGAATATTAGCTAATAGGTTTCTAGTTAGTAATTAATATTGCTTGATGTAGTTATGGGTTTTATATGTGACTTGTGGCTTTTTATCCCCGCCCCCTAGTATCCGCAGAGAGTTTTTTTTTTTTTTCCTGACAGAGATACTGGCGATAGATGGCGGCCCCTCTTCTAGATCTCATTGCCTTTCTGCCTCCTGGAAGTCTTGCCAGGGCTTCCTGAATCTTAACCCTTTAGAGCCCTCCGTCTGCTGAGTCCCCATGAAGGCTTCCCATTGCTGGCTCTGCATCTTGTCACCCATCAGCGTGGAACACCACCTTTAAAATGATTGGGAACGTCTCGTTGTCACAGATGCATTAAAAAAAAAAAAAAAAAAAAAAAGCTCGAACGCGAAATGACAGATCACCTCGAGAGGCAATCAGGTTTATTCTCATTGTTTATAGCTCAAAACGCATTTTTGGCAACCCAAATAGGGAGGTGAGCTTGGTGGATAAGAATGGGAGTGGCGGCGCGTGGCGGGGCTGGCGGCCAGGCCGGGCGCCTTTAACTCGGCGTGACCTCGCGTCTGGCCCGCGCCCCCTCCTCCGCGCGCACCGCTGTCCTGCAGCGATTGGTGCTTGGACCATAAACAGCTGTGCAGGGCCCGGCGGTGCGGAGGCCCCGGGCCGCCAGCGCAGCCACGCCACCGGGGAGTGACTTCCACCCAGGATCGCGGAGGGCGCAGGCCGTTGGCGCGTGGCAGGCGGCGCGGGCCTGGCGTCCCCGCGCGTTCGCGGCGCCCCGTGGCTCCGGCTGGGCTCAGGTGGGCCGGGCCGGGCGCCGCAGATCGGCGCGTTCCCACGAAGGCTAGCCCTCGGAGCGAGGGGGAGGGACCATCGGAAAGACGTGGAACGATCCGCGCGGTGTCATCGGCAGGGCCCAGGCTCCTCGCCGCCGCCACCGCCGCCGCCGCCGCCGCCGCCGCCGCCGCTGCTGCTGGGGATTTGCTGCCGGGATCCGCGCTGAGCCTCTGCGCAGCCCCGAGATTAGCATGACACTGGGTGGCCGTCCCGCTTCCTGCCGTGCCAACGCGCAGCGCGCTAGTCCCCGAGCCCCGATGGCCCCGCGCGCGGGCCGATCGCCGGGCTCCGCAGCCACCGCGGCCCCGTGAGTAGGAGTATGCCTGCGGCGGGGGACCCACGCGTGTCGGCACGCGCCCCCACCCTCCCGCGCCCCCGCCAGCCTCGGAAGGAGGAAGCCTGACGCGGGCGCCGCGGCCGTCAGCACCCATTGGGCTCTTCCTGCGTTGTCGCAGCGGCGGTCCCGGTGCTCCCGCGCGCGCCCCCCGTTCGAGCCTCTGGAATGAAGACTGCCTCCCGGGGACTGCGGGAGAGGCAGAGGCAGTCAGCGCCGGGGACTGCGGGCCTCGCGGCTGGGAGGTCCGGGGGGACGCGGCTCAGACGCTGTCATCCCCACGCTTGGCGTTGAAGCCTCCCGGTACGGTTGAGGCTGCCGCCACCCGGTCAAGCTGCCCGGGCGTGCGATCCCGGGTCGGCCCCCGGAGGCCTAGGCTTCCTCATTTGTTTGGGTCTTTTGTGCTGTGGCGCACAGTTGGCTAAGCACTCCTGCGCTGAATCGGGCCATTGTCTGCGCTCCCATTGCTTCCACGCTGCAAGTCTCGGCGCCCCCACCCCGGCCGCCCCCTCCCGGCCGCCGAGCCTCCCAACGTGCCTTCCCCCCAGGAATCTGGAAGCTGGAAGCCGGGAGGATTGCAAATGAAGTGGAATGCATTGTGGGACGAGTGTAAAAGCGGAGCCTTCGCCGTGGGGGTGTGGGGGGGCGTGGGGAGGGCCGGACCTGCCGCTGGCGGTGTAGACACCGACGAGAAGAGGGGCTGGGGGAAAAATGTGCGCAGAGTCCTCCCGGGTCGTGACCGCGGTAGACGGATGAAGCAGCGCGCTGCGCCCCGGCGCTGAGGCCCCACTGTCGGGGCACCAGGGTCGCCCTTGCCCACCATGAAGAAGACCCGGAGCACAACCTTGCGGCGAGCCTGGCCTAGCTCGGATTTCTCGGACCGGGCCTCGGACCGCATGAGGTCCCGCAGCGAGAAGGACTACCGCCTGCACAAGCGCTTCCCCGCGGCCTTCGCGCCCCAGGCTTCTCGGGGCTACATGACATCAGGTTGGTAACCACTGTTCTGCCGCCGGCCGTGTTTGGTGCGCCAGGGGCTTGGGGTAGAGGACGTGCGGTGATGGATGTGCCGGGTTATGGGGAGAGCAGGGGAAAAAAAAAATTAGCTCCCATCCACCATTTTGTACCTCTGCAAGATCCACAGCAGGCCCTCTCAATATGGGGTTGGAGAGCTATTAGTTAGGTAAAATCGGGGAGGGGGATCGAGCCGAGCATCTGGTCTGCAGGGAGATAGGCGGACTGCAGCCTCTCCGAGCTTTGTGAAAGGGGAGCAGCCTGTGTCTAAGATTGCCTGCAGTACCAGGTTCGCCTGTGTCTGCATTATGGCCAGTTACCTTAGAGGGTATTTAAACAGACCCCCCCCCCGCGCGCCCCTCCAAAAAGGGAACAGGCTCCATGCACCGTTCTAGATAATTCGAGGCAGGGGAAAGCTCTGCCCATGTCCATCTGAAGCTGGTTCGATTTGCACGCAGGAACTATGCTGGGGCTCCTTGAATGCCTGGGGAGGGGGTTGTGGTGTGTTTGCATATGGAAGACTCACAGGGCTGTGCGTGGACTTAGCTTAGGTTGCATCAGTGCCGTGGATGGAATGGAGGCTGTGCCGTGTTTTGCATGCCAGATGGGAAGGACAAACACAATGGCTCACAGACGTGAAGCCTTCAAAATAGGTTTCCTGTGAAAATGCTGCGACCGTGCAGAGGCTCCTAGGATGAGCAGGCTCCCTTTGAATCCCGTTCACTGGCTTTGCTTCGTGGCTTGGGAACCCGGGGATACCGTACTTGAGATGCTGAAGGGGGAGAATCCTGGGAGCCTTGCTTTTTTGTGTTCCTTACTTGTATTCCAAGAGGTGGAAGGTATCAATGTTTGCATTCTGGAAAAAAAAATTAATTTGCTTTTTAAATGCAGTGGGAGGGAAGCATGATGACTTAATTCTAAAGCCAAGTCCCTGTCCCAAATCACCCTAAGCCCCGTCTTAACTGGGGTGATTGTTTTAAGCCTGTGGTTGGTACTTAGAGTCTGGCTTTACTTTCTCCTTAGACGGCAAATCCTTTTAAATTGGGGTCAGTGTCTCACACTTCAAAAATGTCCCATGACCACCACGTCTCCATTCCCGGAAAAGCCTCAACAAATGTAACCATCCTTTTTATTGCAAAAAACCGGGCAGTGTAGGGATGTTGTGTGCTCCTTTGGCAATCACACTCCCTGGATTTTCTCTTTCATGAGAAACCATTTTTGGAAAGGAAGTGACAACCACAGTTGACGCTTAAATAATCGAAGTCATGGCTGTGGGTGCTCCATTCTTCAGGATCCTGGCAGTAAACATACTGTACACCTGGAGCCAACTCTACTCTGTACACAAATCTGTGTCTGCATTGAGTGTTAGGCTGATCCTAGGCTTCCTCCACTTAGATGCATCCTCAGCATGCCACTCTTTCTTGTCACCCCCCCCCCCCCCCCAGAAATCAGAATTGACACTAAATGCAGCGCTGTTGGAGGGCAGGTGGCTATCAGTTCTCCAACAAGCCCGCAAGACTTTTTAATAATGGCAGGCACATTCCTGTGGAGTCTATTTTTATCCGCCTGATCATTGCTTCCTTGTGATCATGTTTTCAGACTTTGCAAAAGAACTTGGTGATTGCCAGTGCTGGGAGACATTTTTTTTTTTTTTTCGAGGGCACAAGGAAGGGTCTTCCAGTTTGACATGATTCTCTCATTTTCTTCTGTGTGTGACCTGCAGATGGCCAGATGGTCTTCCTGGGATAACCAGTTCCAAGTGGGTGGTGTTCTGGCCAGATTCAACATTAGGTTACTGTTGAGATCAGAGGACCCCAAGGAGTGAATGGTGTCACTCATTCATCATTTGATGGAGTGTTCCCCAAGACCAGGGTCTTGCCAGATTATTGTGAGGATACAGGGTTGGACAGAACATGGCCTTTAGCAGGTTTAGGGTTCATTGAAAGAAACAGTGAATCGTAAGGCAAATGCCTACAGTGAGCATTGAGAGGGCGCTGGACCCTTTCTCCTATGCGACTTTTTGGTTGGGGTGGCTTTAGGGGGCAGATATATTTATCATTTCCTTCCCCAAATTTGGCTCCTTTTGGCACTGTGGGAGGTGGTGGAAGCTGATGCTGTGTGAAACCCATGGAGATCATTTGGAGGAAGCTCGTCCTTCACCAAGATGGGAACGGAATCTGCTCTAATATGTTGGCTGTTCTGGGTGCTAGCTGAAGTTTTGTTGCACATCTCAAAGCATGAACTAGGAAAGGAAGCAGCCTAGACACATGATGGCCTTTGACGGTCTGTTCTCTTTGCCCGGTCGTTGGCTTCCTTAGTTCCTGTGGAGTCACCATACTCCATTTTTAGTCAAGAAGAGTTTTGTTGTAGGAAAATGATTTGGATTCAGAGAGAAGCCTCTTCAAAAATGTGCTAAATCATCTAGAATAGCCACAGCTTTGAGACTTTTTAGAAATTACCCCAGAGAATATGAAAATTAAGGGAGATAATAATAATAAAAAAAAACTTTGGGAAATGAGAAATCCCAGGACGGTTTTATAAATATACACTGATAGCTGTCATGGATTTATTACAGCTCTCTAGCACATAGTAGGGCTTCAAGTAGAGTTGTAGTCATTTATGACAGGCTTTAATGAGACAGCACCATTTCTGACTGGTAATAAGCAATTACCAGTCTGCAAGGTGATTTATAGCGGTGAGCTTGACCTTTGGCCTTGGTTTTTTTCTGCTCCCTTCAGGAGAAAATTTAGGCTTACAAGGTCAGACCAGACACCCATAAAGCTGAGCAGGTCTTGCAAGGAGACAGTTGGCTGGAAAACTGTGAACCTTTTGGTTGGGAAGACCATGCTTTCTTTCTCTGCCGCTTTTCAGCTCTCAGATGGAAAGTAATCCTAAGAGTCCCCAGCCTCCTAGCAACCAGGGAGTTCACAGGAGACCTGGAGAAGAGTTCAGTGTTCCTCTTGCATATTCATTTCCCAACAGTGGCTTCTGGGCAGAAGTAGGGGGCGGGATCTTGCCTTTTGTTCAAACCAAGATGACTACAAAAATGTGCACAGCATTCTAAGAAGAAAGGAGGTTAGACCCAATGGATGCAGGACCATTCTGCCTCATATTTTCTACCACTAGCTAGAAATTGTGATGTTAACTACAGAGAAGAGTCCAACTCCCCGTGAAGAAGGAAATCTGTATAATTCTCAGAGCTACATATTTGCCGCCATGATCATAAACCAGTGTGAAATGATTGGAGAGTCTTCAGTGTCTTGTGGGAAAGCCTTTAGAGCCTTGTCTGTTCCTGTGGGAGTGTCCTTCGAACTATATATTCATATGATGCCATGCCCTCTCATTTCCATATTTCCCTTGGACTGTACTGAGGCTGGCTGATGCTTCACGTATAACGCTGCCAGAATTTTGGTGGGTAGTCTAGCATTGATCAAGATTGCAAGTTAATTTTTCTAGTCTTCCAGGTCTACTGAGCATGCCCATAAAGATTTTGCATTTTAGTGGGAACGCTAACATGGGTAGCAAGTTTTATGTCAATTCTCAGGTTTACCGTCATATCTTTCAGGAAGAAAGCTGATTGTTTTTAAATACTATGGCTCCATGGAATTTGAAAAGAAAGAGAAAATGAAAGCCCTAACCTGACATCCTAAACAAATGTGGATTAGTTTTGTCTGATGATGATTTAATTCGTGGGGAGACGTGGCTGACACACCACTTCTTTAGTTTATCAGTTTTCATTTTTACCAGAAGCTAGTTCTGGTTTAGTATGATCCAGTTCCTCACTCGCTCGCTCTTGTTTTAAGAGATGAGAGAGTAGAAGCTAGACTAACTCAGATTCTAATCATGGCCTATCCAAGCCAGCTGGGTCCCCCTCCAGTCAAATGACCTCCTTCCACCCGTAATGAGTCCTTTGGCTCCATGCCTCCATTATAGAGGTTTCATAATGAGCAAGCTCAGGGCTTCTGAACTTAGCACGTGATCGTTAGGAGAGCCCTTTGTCCTTCTGTATACCCCGGAGTCACATGCTTCTCTTAGCGGGAGTGATGCTCTTGTTGGACTTCCGCTTCCTGCCATCCTGCTTCATTTGTGGCCAGGTGACAAGTTTTCATAAACAGCATCCTGCTTCTTCCCTTCCTTTCCTTGGCTCGGTCCTTCCAACGGTCTTGATTCGTAGCTACCTGTATTGCCTGTTATCATCAGGCGGGTGGAAGTGAGGGATGATACCCTCCGGGGCGAGTGACTTCCTTCAGTATTTCCCACGGGAACACGGGCGCGTTTACAAAGGTTACCTCTCTTGGCATTTGAATGTCTTTTACACGCTTTGGAAAATTTTTATTTGGAAAAGAGAAAGAATAATAAATAGTATGCCATCTAAAACCTTAGAATGCTTATAACTCCTGGGCATTCGAGGCCTTACACTTCCTGTACGTTCCCAGAGATTTGGAGTAGATTAGACGAGGGTGTGTCCTTTGATCCAAGACTGTTTGTGTGGAAAGCATGACCCGAGAGTAAAATCTGGGTCGGTCCTTGCTATGGGGACAATACACCAACTTTGGAGTTCGGTACAGCCTCCATTCCTTAGTCAGGGAACTGTGTGATGTCTTGACTAGGAAGGTTTCTTGTGGCAATGAGAGGAGAGTCTGGTCAGGTCTAAATTTACCCTGGCCACAGTCTCACAAGAATGAAATGACATGGTTGATTTTTAAAGGGGTAATAAACTTTCCCTTAAGTAGTAAATCCCCAGACTATTTTTATGTGATGTTGGAATGTGTAGCCAGCTGGCCAGAAAATCCTATTGCTTTTTACTACTTAAATATTTTTTAAATTTGTCTCTTTGCTCTTTATTTTGGCTGCTTAGATCTTCTGTTCTTCTCTACCAGCTTCCAAAGGGACTGGTTTTCCAGGCCAATCCATTCTTCTGGGGTTCCCCCGGAAGGCTTTTGTTTTTCTTATTTTTCACCTGGCCCAAAGTTGCT